AACCCAGTCATAGATTTATTCATAGATCCAGTCAAAGATGTATTTTAATCATTTCTGGTTTAAATTGAGATCCCTTCCCTTTATAATTCACTTATCCTCTGCCATTCCCAAGTCAAGGGTCGTATATACTGACCCAATAGCATATCTTGAAAACTAGAGCCATTCAACAATTTTAAGCATCATTTTCATTCTCAGTGACCAGAATTAGTAAAGTTTGACTACATTTATTTCAGAAGCATTTTGGCTGTAGAGCAGTGTAACTCGGAAGGAAATTATCAATGTCCTAGAAGATAAAATACAAGATGGGGTGGGTATTAGCTGGTGTCTGCTCTGGCCCTGAAATCACATGAGAGAAAAGGATGTTTGCCTTCTTAGCCGTGTAGGGCAGTGATCCTCAGACCTTTGTTGTTCAGAGGCTAAATTAGGAATCAACATTCCCCAAAACAGTCACAGCAGTGTGAATTTGTTGTTTCATTTACATATATATTGTCATAACTAGAAAGGGAAGAGTAACAACCCTCATGTGTACAATACTATAAAATCCCTCCTGGCCAGAGACACCAAAATCCTTTTACCTATAAAGGGTTAAGAAGCTCAGGTAACCTGGCTGACACCTGACCCAAAGGACCAATAAGAGGACAAGATACTTTCAAATCTGGAGTGGGGGTGCGGGGGAAGACTTTTGTTTGTGTGCTCTTTGTTTTTGGTGGTGTTCACTCTTAGCACTAAGAGGGACCAGACATCAATCCATGTTCTCCAAAACTTTCTGCACAAGTCTCTCATATTTCAAACTTGTAAGTAACAGCCAGGCAAGACGTATTAGTTTTATCTTTGTTTTCTCAACTTGTAAATGTTCCTTTTGCTAGAGGGTTTATCTCTGGTTGCTGTAACTCTGAACCTAAGGCTAGAGGGGGTTCCTCTGGGTTCTTTGAATCTGATTACCCTGTAAAGTTATTTTCCATCCTGATTTTACAGAGATAATTTTTACCTTTTCTTTTAATAAAATTCTTCTTTTAAGAACCTAATTAATTTTTCATTGTCTTAAGATCCAAGGGTTTTGGATCTGTGTTCACCAGGACTAATTGGTGAGGGGATATTCTCAAGCCTACCCAGGAAAAGGAGTGTAAGGGGTTGGGGGAAATTATTCTCAAGCCTACCCAGGAAAGGGGGATTAGGGATTTGGGAGATATTTGGGGAAAGGCAGAGTTCCAAGTGGCTCTCCATAAATATTTGGTTAAAAAGCTGGTAAAAATAAGCTTAGGGTGTCTTTCATGCGGGTCCCCACATCTGTACCCTTAAGTTTAGAGGGGGAGGCAATCTTGACATATATAATTATAATTAAAATAATAATTATAATTAAATTAATTATTCCCTAGCAAATATGTTAACTCAGTTCAAGTCGATTACTTAATTGGTTAACAACACAGAAAAAGCACATTTATTGGTTAATAACTAAATCACACAGTATTTTACTGTCTTCTGCTGCAAAAAGTCACAGGAGACACATTAAAGAGCCACTTGCGCCTCGAAAGCTGCAGTCTGAGTATCACTGATGTAGGGGGAAAACACTGTGTGATCATGGGGGACATGAATTTGAGTGACATATGCTGGAGGCCTCATGCTCTCAGAACGAAAACATCCTTGGAATTTCTAAGCATTATAGCTGACAATTTCCTAACTCAGAAAGTGTTGCAGCCCCACGGGGGATGCTGCGTTAGACCTCGTCCGAACAGATAAAGAGGAACTCAAAGAGAACATAAAGTTAATGGTAGCTTAGGTACAAGTGATCTTGACTTGATCACATTTATAATGCTCAAGCAGAATAAAGTCCATGCCGCCAATAAGGGAAACACCCAGGCAAGATTGGGTGATGCCCCGCCATGCCCGTAACACACACACTCTCAGTCTGCCTTGTCACTGCATCTGCCCTGCGCTGAGACACTGAGCCCGGCCAAACTCCACACCTGTGAAATTTAACAACCACTTTGTCCCCTTTTACAGCCCCTTCACACATGCACCCAGGAGACCCCCTAAACCTTTACATCCCCTTACCCCTATTAATCCCCCCACCTGTTCCTTATCCCATCTCACTACTGACCATCCACAGTGCCGGGCATTGCACGGACCCCAATCAAGATCTGGGCCCCATGGTCCCCAGGACTGCAAAGCCCCCAACTGAGA